GGTGTCGTTGTGTTTCCGCTTCTCTAAGCTTTCGCGAGTTAAATTTGCGGATGTCAGGTCTTGTGACACTATAGCAAATCGGGTAATTTTGTCACTTACATAGAAAAACAAATTCATTCTTGCTGATGAGAAATTTAGCGAATTAGGAGATTCTACTGGCTCTATCTTTTTTTTTCTTTTTTTTTTACTTCGAATACTTTGAAACGGCAAACGATTAATTTTTAAATTCTTTTCTTTCTTTCAGCATTATTTCAACGTCTTTTCCAGTTAGCAAATATTTTCCTACTTTTAATAGCATCGTTCAACGATGTTTAAATTTCGTCGCGTTGAACAGTGAACAAGGTTCAATTTCGCGAGGCCAACCACGTTTTAATTTCTCGTAATCCGCAATCGCGCGGCTGCGCTGCATGGAAAAGCTTTTTGCGAACGTTTTGCTGAGATGGCAGGAAGAAAACATTTCTGGAATATCCTTCGACGGTCCATTTCCCGTGTAAAAAGCGTTGCACGAAACGTCAGCGTGAATCGAGAATTTTTCGTCGTTTATTTCCCGGAAAATTTGTACGAATGAGTCTATTTATTAAAGGGGAATGAGGAAAAAAAAAAGAAAAAAAAAAGGGGGAGAAAAAAATCATCGAATTTTGTTTTACTTCAATTATTTAGTCTAGTGAGTTAGGTTTGTTAACGTTCGAACTCGAGAAGTTATAGAGTAACGAATCGATATTCTGGACTGTATACGGAGTGTATATTTTTCCCTTCTGTTGGTTTCAATGTGCAAATTGAACATTGATGTTTAACTTGTGGATTGAAACAAGCTTCGTTAAAAACGATCTCGTTTAAATAATTTCTTGCCTACTGTCATCTTATTTTATATCACACATATAAAAATTCGTTTCTTTCGTAAAATGAAGTAAAACGAAAATTCAAAATTCCATTATTCCACGGCTGGCTTAATCGAAATAAAGCTTTGCACATATCCACGAATACATCCAAAGAGAAGATGACGTTTCTCGATTCTCAATTCAACTTGCCTCATCAATACCAACGAGTAGAAGCGACCCTCAACAACGTTCTCTTATGTATGCATCTTCTATCGTATAAGGGGATAAGAAAATATCGAAAGCAAGGGATGGAGTTCAAGAAATTAGAAAAAAAATGGGAGAGACTTGAGACAATGGCACAGCCTGGAAAGAACGATCTTTCTACTCTAAGGAGCCATCGTAACCATGGTAGTTTTTTTTCTCCTCTCCTTTTTTTCTTTCTTTCTTTCTTTTTTTTTTTTTCTTTTTTTCTTTCTTTGCGACCTCTTTGACGCATTCTTCCGGAGGAGAAGAGCGCACGACGAAGAGATTTCAGGAGGAGGACTCTCTGACTGAAGGAGCGGAACATTTATCGATCATCCTTTGCATCCTGCGGCTTTTCACTGAGAAGGACGATGCGGCACATACAACGACGTACGTCACTACTAATTTATACAACAGATCAAGCCTTTGCTCTCTAGACATTTACGTGTCAGCGCATGATTATGCACTCGTGGCCTGTCGCAATGGGATTGCTACCTCGAATCGTTTTCAAATTCATTTTCCTCTCATGTCTTATCGGAACAATCTCGTTTTCTTTTTTTTTTTTTTTTTTTTTTTTTTGTTCTTTAATCCTGATAAATTCCACTCTACAACTTTAACTCAACCTCAGCTACGTTCTTTGAATTTTTACGAATCCCCAATTTCGTTCCAAAAGTTTTCTCGAATAAAATAATATAATTGTATAAACCTTTTACAAGGTTTGAAATTGAATTATATTTCCTCGTATGTCTCTCAAACGAGCGAGGGAGAAAATTTTCAACTCGATGGAGAGAAGTGGACGAGGCTGAGGATGAATCAAAAAAACGCAGCGGGTTGGAAAAAAAAAAAAAAATAACTC